TTTCGAAAGAGTTTTTAAGAGGCGATTAGTTGTCCCTAAAAAGAAAACCCTAGCCACCTACAAAACCTCTTCTCATCTGCCTCTCCGGCTCCGGTATCACAGCCAGTGGCTGCGAGAGGGCTCATCTCTCTCCCTCTATTTTCCCTTTTTGCCTTGTTTCTTCTTACAGTCGTGGGATGGTTCTTTGCATTGGAGATCTTGCCTTGTTTCTCGACGGAGTGGTTGTGGTGGTTTCGGAGTTCTGACGGTGGCCCTCGGTGGTTCTATCTTCTATAATTTCGTCTTTCTGGTGACTAGGAAGAGATCTGCTGGTGAAATCTTCTAGATCTGGTAGTGGATCTAGCTAGGGTTTGGAAGCCCTGGGCTCAGGCGGTGGTGGGTTTCTCTGTGCTGAAGTCTTATGGGTGTGGCGGCGATGTTGGTGTTAGATCCTTGTTTGTCTTGCCGGTGACATCTTCGGAGTTGGGAGTTCGGCCTCTCATCTTCCTGTTGTCGGAGATTTCGAAGGCTTGAGGCGGTCTTGTTGTCTCGGGTGAGAGATTTAGGGCTTTAGGTGCCTTTCTTCTCCGACGTTCCTTGCGACTTCTATGTCGTTGTTGGGATCCTTGTCGTGTCTTAGTTATCTTGACTGGTTCGGTTTTTCTGGGCTCGGGTTTTTTCTCGATGGAGATGGTGGATTCGACTGCCTTTTCCCTCTTGGGATTGCTCGGTTTTGGTTCCCCGTCCGCGGGATCTTTCCCTCGGTTGACTCCCATTTGGGTTGTTCTGGTCTTGGGCCTGCTCTTCTCTCGGCTAGACTGGTTAAAGCGTTTAAGGTTTTGTGTTTGTTTCCCAGTCTGGTCTTGGGTTTTATGGTATAGATTATCTTTGTGTCTTTTGTCGTTTGGGTTCAACTGGTCTTATCTGGTTTGGGTTCATGGCTACATTTGGTTGCTTTGAGTATTTTTTTCCTTTTTTCAGGCTTTCCTCTTCTCTTTTGGGTTATTGCGTTCTATCCGGATCCGTTCTTTGTCGGCTCATTGGTTGTGCCTGGCTTCAACCGGTTAGTTCGGGTTCGCTCCTTGTATCTACATACCATATCAGTTTGGGATCTGCTTAATTGGTTTTGCTTCTATCAAGGTGTTGTTAAACAACTTATTCTGGGTTTCGCCGTGTGTGAAAGTTTTTGGAATACTGGATTGTATTTCCTCCTTGCCATAGTATGAAACGTTGGTCTTGATATTACAGAGGTAGATTTGATTCGCCATGGGAGGATTTGTGTTTCTGTTTGTTTCTTTGGCTTTGGTGAAGTGTTGTTTGTTCAATACCTTAGGTATTAGTCTCGCTTAGTCTTTTTCCAGCTGTGTTGTTTGGGGAATATTTGGTCTCAATAGTCGATTGGTCATAGCTTTCCTTTTTTGGGCTTTGGGTTCAAATTGGATTCATTCTCGAGTTGTCTTGGCAACAAATGGGTTTTCTCCCCTACCGGCCTTTGTATTCCAGTGTAACACCTGATTTCTTCAATATATTTTACTCAGATGACAGAAGCAATTTTTTTTTTTATAATATTTTACTTATTTGTTTAAAATATTAAAATTAGTGTTCCACCAATCAAACAATAACAATTTGCATATGGGTCTCTTAAATATATGAGAACGTGTTCTCATTTGAGAAATTCCTTTTATTCTCTCT